GTAGTCTGTGGCAATGTAACAATGATCAATTAGTACTAAGGGCCCAAAATGTGACAAGAAAATGTTCCCCACACCCTTACACCACCAGCAGCCTGATCCTTTTATACAAGGTAGGATTGATCCATGCTTTCATGTTGTCGAGGCCAAATTCTGACCCTACTATCCAAATGTAGCAGCAGAAATCGAGAACTCATCAGACCTGGCAACATTTTTCCACTCTTTTACTGTCCAATATTGGTGAGCCAGTGCACATTGTAGCCTCGGTTTCCTATTCTTAGCTAACAGGAGTGGCACATGGTGTGGTCTTCTGCTGCTGTAGCCCATCAGCCTCAAGGTTCGATGTGTTGTGCGTTGAGAGATGCTTTTCTGCATACCTTGGTTGTCAGAGTCACTGTTGCCTTTCTATCAGCTTGAATGAGCCTGGCCATTCTTCTCTTAACTCTGGCATCAACAAGGCATTTTTGCCCACAGAACTGCCACTCACTGGATGTTTTCCCTTTTTCGGACCATTCTCTGAAAACCCTAGAGATGGTTGTGCGTGACAATCCCAGAAGATCAGCGGTTTCTGAAATACCCAGACCAACCATGTCACATTCAAAGTCACTTAAATCACCATTCTTCCTCATTCTGAAGCTCAGTTTGAACTGCAGTGGATTAACTCCACCATGTCAACATGCCTAAATGCATTGAGTTGCCACCATATATAGCAACTCAATTATATATATATATATATATATATATATATATATATATATATATATATATACTTTTTATGTTTTCTGAAATTAATTGAAGGGTATTCCTCTACCAATAAATTTGTGTTTTAAATGTAATTAAAGCTGTACCTGTTTACACTAAAGAAAAACCCAGGTTGTTCCCTAACCCAAATAAACCAAAACAGTGACATTAAAGCCGAGGTACAAATCGAACCGGGATTATAGGCATACCGCAACACTACTGAGTTATATTTTGTAGCCAATTTGCGTTATTTCATCTTATGGAAAGCGATGTTTGGTCCGTTATGAAGTCCAGGCTTTTATTTTAGGATGCAAACCGGAAGTGGTTCTTAACCACTGCAACTTTATTTTGGCACGGAAACGCTGCTCTTAGGAGATGATGAATGTTGTTGTAGGCACAGTCAGCGTTTTTTACATCATGAACCCTCCAAAATAACACCGCGGCGAGCTGATTCTGTGCGAAAAACACACTTGTTCAGTCACATCATATAGCAGAAACCACTTTCGTTTTCCTCGATGGGAGAAGATTGTCATCATGTCAGCTTCCCCTCCCCCGGCTTAACTAAGTGCTTTAACCCGGACTGGGTCGGCCTCCGACACCATCCCTGACTTAACTTTACCTCGTAGCCCTCTGACACTGACAAAGGTCAGCAGGAAGATGAGGGAGAGCGGAGAGAAGCCCGATAACGACCGACTGCTGTTCAATCAGCTGAGGTTATTGAAGCTTCCTGAATGTTTAGCGCTGATAGCTGAACGGATTTAGAAAAATCCATAAAAGCGGGACGTTTACCGGCAGGTCAGCGGCACGTACCTCTCCGTGGACTCACGATACAGGTAGATGGTTGTCTGAATCATCTAAACAGCTTTAGGTTTAGAAAAATATCAACAGTTCTGCAGCATACTGTACACACAGTGGGTCCCCGCCCCCCGTCTTCCAACGCTGCACGTGAGTGGACGATTGCTTTGATTGAAAGGACAAGTCAACCAATCGTGAACCTCGTTAGATTATCTGTCGCAAATGACTGATGTCCTCGTAGTTAGAAAGCAGGGATATGGAGAGTATCTGCAGCCATACTAGAGTTCACGTGAAATACTTTTATTCTAAAAGGACTCAGAGGCTTAATATGTTCAGTTCTGCTTCTGAGATGCTTACTAAACCCAACACACAAAGAAAACAAGTTGGAGTTTAGTTATTGTTTTTGTTGTAACAAAGCTTAATTGTAATAAACCGTATGTTGTAGAAAACCCTCATCAGTCACCTTCCCAGGGTCCCGACTGCTCATTCATGGAGTGGAGCAAGACAGATACACAGCCTCTTCCTCATGTCCCCTGCAGCACTCTCCAGCTCCTCCTGGGGGATCCTAAGGCATAGAACAGGAGGCAGAATCCCTCCAGACAGCTCTGGGCCTACCCTGGGGTGTGTCCTCCCTGTTAGATGTATGCCAGTAACCACTGGAGAAAGGTGTTTGAGAGGCATCCATATCAGATACCCAGCCGACTCATTTTGATGAGGAGGAGCAGCAGTTTTACCTCAAGTTTCTTACAGATGACCGAGCTGCTCACTTTTTTCAAAAACCAGATACGGTAGGCTCATTCAGCCGCTTGTATCCACGATCTCAGTCTTGATCCACATTTGACCGTAGGGTTGGAACATTGACGGACCAGTACATAGAGAACTTTGCATTTAAACTCAGCTCCATCTTCACCTCAACAGACAAATGGTCTTATCATACAATGAATCTCCAAGCTGTACAGTAGGGCTTGTTATCGTGACGTCATCACTGACGCGTCCGCCCAGTTGGAGGTGTGTGAGTCCTTACTTGTTACTACTGTAAACAGCACGCTCGGTCTCGTTCTTGCGGCTTAAATTAATCTATTATATTACACAACTCTAGTAAATTGTTGCTGTGATGTGGGGTGACACACGTGATCGCCAGGGGAATAAAGGTGGAAAACAAGCTACCTTTTCACCGTTTTCCTGCTTAGAGACAAAACCAGGAGACCAAGTATCTAGTTTAACAAAGTGTCGTCGGCTCGCTTGGATCGCAGCTGTAAGGGGACTAAACATCATCTTCTGGAGTATTTTCATTCTGGTAAGTTACAGGTGGTGTACGTCTTTTATACATCGTTTGTTTTCTTCAACTGCGTCATTCACACACACACACACACACACACACACACACACACACACACACACACACACACACACACACACACACACACACACACACACACACACACACACACACACACACACACACACACACACACACACACACACACACACATACCGGTGAGCTAATGCGGGTGCACTGACACACAACGTCTCTTGCTACACTTCTTCTGTAGGATGACAATTTTGATTGTTTTACTAGAAAAACCAACAGAAAAATGTTTACCTCTCATCCAGACGTTTACATCCGCTCACACCACAAACAAGATAGCCGAAAATGTCCGTTATGCAGAACTGCAGCGGTAACAATAAGTCATCAGTGCGCCAGTCTTCGGTCTTTCATGTGGATCAAAACCAGTTATAACACTGATTTTGTCCACATACCTGTCCCCAACGTCTTTATTTAACATATCTCTGAATATTCTGCATCCTTTTTGGGATTTTATAATGTTATTTAACACTTTCTTACACTCAGATCTGCTTCTTCTTTGCGACAGTACCATTTGTTTCACGGTTTGTTTACACTCGTCAAGCTTCCAACATGGCAGCGCACATCCCAGAATGCTATGCGTAATCACGTGTGATCACAAGCTCTATTGGCATAAAAAAAAAACATAAACTGTAAAATTTAGAAATGGTAGCCCTGGTAACCCTCTGGGCTGGGAACTCTGGCACTCAGCTGTTTTATTAACGAAGGCCTTTTTAAACCTAGAAGCTAGAGCAACTGCCAAATCCTCAGTGCTTATCCTGCTCGACTTATCGGCTGCATTTGACACTGTCAACCATGGCTTCCTTTTGTCTACACTCTCTAGCATGGGCATCACAGAGAAAGCACACGCCTGGTTTGAATCGTACCTCACAGGACGATCATTCAGTGATCATTCAGTTTCCACTGCACCATTTGCAGCAGGATGGTAAACAGAAGTTCGTATGTGCTGTATACCCCTGGAATGCAGGAAAGCAGAAAACTCAGCCAAAGTAAACTGAGTCCCGTTATCAGACACAACCGAGCGAGGATTTCCAAACCTGCTGAACACTGAAGTGAGAAAACAAATCACTTTTTCAGTTGTAACAGAAGCCACAAAGGCAACGTCTGGCCATTTGCTGTGATAATCCACCGGTGTGATTGCATACTTGCAGTCCCAAACAGCAGAATCAAATGGACCCACAGCATCAATAGCCACTTTCTCCCATGGCTCAGAAGGAAATTGTACCAGTGTGAGTGGAGCAGCAGCTGGATCCGCTGTTTTATCCGTGCTCTGACACAGTTGACACCCTTTAGCATGTTGTGTCACTTGGTCATCCATTCCAGGCCACCAATACAAGTCACAAAGTCTCTGTTTGGTTCTCACAATTCCCTGATGACCTTCATGTGCCAAAATAATCAATCTGTGATGCAGACAGAGAGGAACGACAAGTCGGGAGCCCCTCAAAACATAGACATGCTGTACAGAAAACTCCTCTCTCAACTGGAAGTACGGACGCACGCTTTCAGGTAGTGCAGCAGATAAGCGTGGAAAACCTTTCCTGGGTTGGAAACGCAGTGCTGAAAGTTCTGGACAGGAAGCAGACGCTGAAGCAAAATCTGCAGGTGACACTGCAGTCATAGATATAGACAACATCGCAACGAACTCGGGTTCTGGTTCCACAGAAGCTTCCGGATCTGCATAAAGAGGTAAACGTGACAGGCAATCAGCAACGCAATTCTCAGAGCCTGGCCTGTACACCACCTCGTAGTTGTAACACAGCAAGCGAGCAGCCCTGCGCGCCATATGCATGCCTGCACGATCAGTTCCCTTTGAAGTAAGTAGCGTGGTTAGAGCCTGGTGATCTGTGCGTAATGTAAATTTACGACCCCACGATAAGTTCACCACTGTCCGACTGCCCAGATGCAGCCCAGGGCTTCTTTTTTCAATGGTGGAGTATTTATGTTCCTCAGCAGATAAAGTCCTGGAAGCGAACGCCACCACACGCTGTGTCTCCATGAATCTGAGTGAGAACCGCACCTAGTCTCCTGACGCGTTGGGGCGTTCCGAATCGTCATATATTGACGCTTGGTCACACGCGTCATATTTTGACGCCTTGGGTGTGAGAATGTGTTGGACTACAACGTTTGGTGCCATCGCTCGATGACACCTTGGCTTTCAGGATGGTGGCTAGAGGAGGTGACATGTTTAATGTTCAGAGTCTTTGCAACCTGAGAGAAGATCCGAGAAGTGAAGTTGGTTCCCTGGTCTGACTGAATGACCCGGGAGCTTGCACTACAGGAGCAATGAGCAAACCTCACGAGACCACTGCAGAGTCACCGCAATCTGCTCGAAAACCTGGAAATACCCATCCACATCAGTTTTTCGGAATGGTGGAAGGAGGGAGACACACTTGCTGACATCGAAGCCAGGCGGTAACGATGAGGCACCAGGAGGAGACGAGGCATCACGGGGCAAGCAACGAGGAGGCGATGTCGAGACTGTCAGGTGTTCAGCATCCAGAGTAAGGCTCGAGGAAGCGGCAGCAGTCAGGGTCCTAATCTGTAGCTCGAGCTCGCAGGGGCGAACCTCGGTGTCCATACGCTTCATCTCAATCTCGTGATGAAGATTTCTCTCATTCGTCTTTTCCTCTGCTTGGAGTTTAAGATGGGCTAGTCGAAGCTGGAGTCGAGCTCCGGCTAGCGGGGAGCGAGGAGGACTAGATCCAGGCAAAGCTACATCAGACGGAGAGCCACCAGAGGAGTCCTTTCCTGGAGAAGGCGGCGCTGTGGTGAGGGTCTCCTTCTTGTCATCGAGCCGGTCCTCTTCATCGCAGGAGGGCGGCGGAGATGCACCTGGAGTGGAAGGCGGAGGTAGGATTTTCTGTGTCTCCAGGTAATCCATGACAAGCAGGCGAATTGCATCCTTAGTCAGCTGCTTAGGCACGAGTAAACTGAAGTGGGCAGCAACCTGCTGCAGACTGGCTTTGCGGCAACTCCCCAGCAGCTGGCGCGAAGGAGCTGCCGCAAACGCAAGCAAGTCAAAGGATGCCAAGCTCCGACTCTAAGGGACACAAACACAAAGTTAATATTTTTTCACACACAATACAAGGAAAAATAGAGCAAAATAAATGAAAAATCCTGGACGAGCCCCCTCGTTTTTATGTTCCTCAGCTCGCTAGGAGTGATGTTGTTGAGGGAGCAAAAATGTTAGTGTATGGGTTGAATAATAACAGAGTGCAGTGTCAATGTACCAAGGATTTATTTACAGAAAGAAGCGCCAAAAGGTATTTACAACTATAATATACACAAAAGGGAAAACTAAAAGCGCCAGCCCAGAAGGGGCTGGGAATACAAACTGAAAAGGTCCTAATCTAAATCTAAACTCTAAGAGGGAGCAGTCCTGTTAAGCAGGGACGCTCATACAAATTCCAAGTCCAAATCCAAGCCAAAGTCAGTTTACCCACGAGTCAGTCCAAACTAAAGTTTACTAAGACGAGAGATTAAACACACAGCTAACAAGACCGAGCACACGAGGATAAGAGAGCACAATGAACGCCTTCGCACCCACCATACCCTGTACCTTCTCCCGATTGAGGGCAGGAGAGAAGCTTTTAACAGCTGACCGGTGATTACAATTACACACAGCTGGGCATCTGGAACCGGGAGACAGGTGAGGCAGAAGCCACTGAGGCCATCCTGTAGCCGAAAAGGGGAAGCACACATAACATATATATATATATGTGTGTGTGTGTGTGTGTGTATATATATTTATACACATACATACATACATACATACATACATACATACATACATACATACATACATACATACATACATACATACATACATACATACATACATACATACATACATACATACATACATACATACATACATACATACATACATACATACATACATACATACATACATACATACATACATACATACATACATACATACATACATACATACATACATACATACATACATACATACATACATACATACATACATACATACATACATACATACATACATACATACATACATACATACATACATACATACATACATACATACATACATACATACATACATACATACATACATACAAGAATTATGAAACAAAGTAACGCCCAAACAAATTTTCTAAGAAATTTTTATTAAATAGACACACTTTGCTGAATGAACAAGTACAGAAGTATTTAAATGCAAAGGGAGAAACGGCAGACCTCACAGTTACAGAACAAACATATGTGCTGAGGACACAGAAACAATGGAGACACAGACACCCATTCACACATACATTTAAAAAAAAATGAACAAATTTACATTAAATATATAATAATATTTGGACGTAAAAATGTCAGCAGTTTCTATCAATGAACATAGTGGAAAAACAATGGAATAATATATGATTTAATACAGAAAACACAAATGATTTTGTTATCCAGTGTAAATAAAGACTTAGCAAACAGACAGTCCAGGCCCTTATCTAGGGTGATGAATCAATATAACTTTTCCTTTGATGGGATCCAGATGGAAGGTCCAGAATGTTCCTCAATGACCTCTTTGCATTGGTTGTAAATATCTCCGAAGGTGTCTCCCTGAACCAAAGCTGAAAAGCAAATGGAACATGTAGTCAGAACATGCCATTCAGCCTCAGGCTGAGTAACATATTACATATGTAGGTGGAATACCCACCATTCCTATCAGGGTGAATAGAGAAGTCATTAGACACTAGTTTACCCACATGTATTCATCTATGCCCGTCTTGTTCTGAACCTGCGTGGTGTTTGGACCATTGCGCTCGCCATGGATTGTTCACGATGGACACCATGTTCAAGCACAAAGGTGCGTGCTCTTGGCACCTTAGGCCACAGCTCGATGATTGACTTGGTTGTTATTTCATCTGATCTGCAGCTGCATGTTTTAGACACTGGTGAGCAGGGACAGACTTGGTTCTGAAAACTGTGTCACTGATGCTTGTGTAGACCCAGAACCCGGGTTTGCTGCGATGCTGTCTACTGCTCTGTCTGATATCACCTGTAGATTTTCTCCTGACTCTGGTTCCTGCCCAGAACTTTCTGCCTTACACTCTTCCATTATTGAAAATAAACTGGCAACAGATTGAGACAGACTTCTTACAAGTCTACCATTCCACACCTCATTCTATGACAGAGGTCTCTTTTCAGACAGACATTCTGGAACATTTGCGGACAATTCAATCCGGTTTTTAACCGGAACTGTGTTTTCAGACACACCACTTTTGTACCGGAACTTGTCCTTTCGGCTACGTTCACACAGCAGGGAAAAGTTCCAGATGTCTGACGGCGGCAGGGGGTGGGGTGGGTTGGGGGGGGGGGGGGGGATCGGACAGATTTAAGCCACGACAAAACAAGCCCAGTCACTCGTCACCTCAGGCAAATACCAAACCCAAGCCATGGTATTGTTTTAACTGTGGAGAAGATGGCCACATTTCTTCCACCTGCAACAACAGAGTCTTGTTGAACAGAAAAAGAAACAATTACGGAAAAAACAGCAAGAATGGGATGCCAAAACGACTTCATCTTTAAACTAGAAGGAGCTTCTGCGGTGGGACACACAGGAGCTGCGTGCACCAACAGTCCCAGAAACCACAACACATTTTCAGTGCTGCCAAAAGGGCTTGTGGGGACCAAAAGCACAGGACAAATTCAAATCAATGGCAACCATTTCAACTGCCTTCTGGATTCTGGGTCTCAGGTTACTACCATCCCTTATTCCTTCTATAATACTTATCTTTCAGACCATCCAATCAAACCACTAAATGATTTGTTGGAAGTAGAAGGAGCTAATGGACAAGCCGTACCTTACCTGGGATATATCGAGATTACCATGGCATTCCCAGCCGATTTTCTTGGTTCATCCATTAATGTTGATACACTTGCTCTTGTCGTGCCTGACGTCCAGCAATCACACCCAACGATACTTGTTGGTACCAACACTCTGGATGTTGCTTACAGCAAACATTGTGATACCCGCTCTGACCAGTCATTCCTGCCAACTGGTTACATTGCAGTTTATAAAATCCTCCAGTGTCGCCATGTCCAGAAGTATGCTCCTGTAATCTTGAAGTCAGACCAACCACATACCATTACTGCCGGGCAAACCACAGTCCTTACGGGATGCCTGGTCACAAGGCTATTCCACGGTGAGAAAGCAGTTATTCTGGAACACCCCACCTCCACTTCTCTGCCTGGTGGTATTCTAGTAAAAACCTGCCTTGTGGACTTACCTCAACTTCGGCCATGTTCTCTGCCTGTTGTAGTGAGCAATGAGTCGGACCATGACATCCACATTCCAGCTCGAGCCATCATTGCAGAAATCAGCACCTTTCAGGAAGTCATTCCCAAAGAGAAACACATCGACTATTCAGACCAGTCCACCGAGTCGTTACCCCCATCTCAACCACAATACAACTTTGGTGATTCCCCTTTACCTCCAGACTGGAAAGAACGCATTGTTCAAAAGCTCAACAGTATTCCTGAAGTATTTGCCAAAGATGGTCTGGATTTCGGCAGGACCGACAAAGTCAAACACCAAATCAAATTGTCCGATCAAACCCCTTTCAAGCAAAGACCACGACCAATTCACCCTCAGGATCTCGATGCTGTAAGGAAGCACCTGCAAGAACTTCTTGATTCCGGAGTTATCAGAGAATCAGACTCTCCATTTGCCTCTCCAATTGTGGTTGCGCGAAAAAAGAATGGCAGTGTACGTCTTTGTATTGACTACCGCAAACTCAATCTGCAAACAATCAAAGATGCCTATGCTCTGCCCAAGCTGGAAGACACCTTCTCGGCACTTGCAGGGTCCAGGTGGTTCACGGTGCTGGACCTCAAGTCGGGATATTACCAAATTGAAATGGAGGAGAAAGATAAAGCAAAGACTGCCTTTGTCTGCCCTTTAGGATTCTGGGAGTTTAATCGGATGCCGCAGGGGATCACCAATGCACCAAGCACATTCCAGCGGCTGATGGAGAAATGCATGGGAGAATTAAATCTAAGAGAAGTCCTGGTTTTCATTGACGATCTCATTGTTTTTGCACCAACTCTTGAGGAACATGAAACTCGTCTGATGAAAGTTCTTACCAGATTCAAGGATTTTGGCTTGAAGCTTTCACTTGAGAAATGCATGTTCTTCCAGACATCTGTGAAATATCTGGGCCATGTAGTGTCCCAGGCTGGTGTTGAGACTGATCCTGACAAGATTTCTACACTCACTTCTTGGCCAGTGCCGAAAAACTTGAAGGAATTAAGATCTTTCCTTGGTTTTGCTGGGTACTACAGACGTTTTGTCCAGGGATATTCAGCAACTGTCAAGCCGTTGCATGATCTCACTGCTGGCTATCCACCTTCCCAGAGGAAACTGAGACGAACTGTACAGTCAGAGAATTACCTCAACCCCAAAGAGCCGTTTGGAGGACGATGGACGCAGACGTGTCAACAATCTTTTGAGTCCATAATTGCCAAACTTACTTCCGCCCCAGTTCTGGCATTTGCTGATCCCAGAAAACCATATACACTCCACACTGACGCCAGTGCCACAGGTCTTGGTGCGGTGCTGTATCAAGAGCAGGATGGGAAGAACCGAGTGGTAGCATATGCCAGCAGAGGTCTTTCCCGGAGTGAGTCAAAATATCCCGCCCACAAATTGGAGTTTCTTGCTTTGAAATGGGCGGTGACTGAAAAATTTCACGACTATCTTTATGGTGCTCAGTTCACAGTGGTGACGGATAGCAACCCATTAACATACCTCTTATCATCAGCAAAACTTGACGCTACCGGTTATAGATGGCTTTCAGCTTTGTCCACTTTCACCTTCAAATTAATCTACAGAGCAGGAAAGCAGAACTCTGATGCTGATGGTTTGTCTCGCCGACCTCATGGTGAACTGTCTGATGATCCTCTGTCACAGAAAGAACGTGAGCGAATCTGGAGATTTGCATGGCAACATCTAAATGAACCAGAGCATGTTTCTATTGACCAGCCTACCATCAAAGCAGTTTGTGATCGTCACCTGGTATACAGTTCAAGCACTGATCCTGATCTTGCTCTGGTGTTATCCATGTCTGTCAATGTCAACAGTCTGCCTGACAGTTTCACGGATGACACCCAGTTCGCCTCCATGGTACTTCCCCAACTCTCAACAGCTGACTTTGCAGCCAAACAACGCCTTGACCCTGTCATTCGGCATGTCATAGCTCAGGTTGAGCGAGGAGAGTCACCACCGCCATTGCTGAGGGACGAACTTCCTGATCTACCTCTATTACTGCGAGAAGTAGATAAACTGGAGCTCCATAACACCCTTCTCGTCAGAAAGAGACAAGTGGGAAGTGACTCCACATACCAGCTAGTGCTACCTGAAGAATATCGACCGGTTGTATTACACCACCTTCATGATCAAATGGGTCACATGGGAATTGACAGAACGCTGGACTTGGTCCGTTCCCGGTTTTATTGGCCTAAGATGACTAGTGATGTGGTCAGTAAAATAAGACACTGTGAAAGATGCGTGAGACGCAAATCTCCGTCTGAACGATCTGCACCTCTGGTAAATATCAAAACCTCTCATCCCATGGAACTGGTGTGTATGGATTTTCTTGCAGTGGAACCAGATCGTGGAGTCAAAGACATACTCTTCATAAGTGACCATTTCACGAAATATGCCGTTGCTGTGCCAACATCAAACCAGTAAGCCAGAACTGTTGCCAAATGTTTATGGGACAACTTTTTTGTGCATTATGGTATCCCAGAACGTTTGCACAGTGACCAGGGCCCTGACTTTGAATCCAGAATCATCCGAGAGCTTTGTGAGATGGCTGGGATCCACAAAGTAAGGACTACTCCATACCACCCAAGAAGCAATCCTGTTGAACGGTTTAACTGAACATTACTGGATATGCTAGGAACGCTGACAGCTCAACAGAAATCTCATTGGAAATATTTCGTAAAACCTCTGGTGCATGCCTATAATTGCACCAAAAATCACGTTACAGGTTTCTCACCGTATGAGCTTATGTTTGGCCGCCAACCTCGCTTACCGGTGGACTTAGCCTTTGGACTACCACTTGTCAGAGAAGGAGCAACATCCCACACACAATATGTGGAAAAACTAAAGTCCCACCTGGAAGAAAGTTACAAGCTGGCCATCGAAAACTCAGAAAAGGTGATGAAACGGAATAAAACCAGATTTGATAAAAACATCACTGCATCACAGCTGAATGTTGGAGACAGAGTTCTTGTGAGGAATGTGCGGGTAAGAGGCAAACACAAGCTTGCAGACAAATGGGAGTCATCTGTGTACATTGTAGTGAAGAAAGCCGGCACTCTTCCTGTGTATACAGTTCGACCCGAAGGCCAAGACAAGCCCCTGAGAACTTTACATCGAGATCTCCAACTGCCCTGTGGGTATTTGCCACCTTCTGAAAAGGAAATGCTTAATAAGCGGAAGAGAGACATGCCTGTCTTGCCTGTGTCTCCTGTGCATGCTGATGATGATGACCCTGACGAGGAAGAACTCATCTCATACCTACCTGTTCCTTTCTCTGCTGAACCTGTCACTTTCACATCAACC